CAAAAGTGAGCTCTACTGTCATTTTACCCAAGTAACGTCGTGTGTCTTTTTATCACAATAAAAGTCCCATTTTCTCTTTGTGGAAAACCTGGACGGGAGAGCAAAACATAATGAAGCCAGAAACCCCTGAAATCCTACTTCTCGGGTTATGATGGGGTTCACATTTTGTAGTACGTCTTATTCCAGTCTAAGAGAAGATCTGATCTGGGGCGAGACAGAACTGAGTCTGAATCCTGGCCCTGTTACTCCCTAACTGTAGGTTCTCAAGCAAGTCACTATAAACTTTCCTCCCAAGACATCAGTTTCCTCATCTTAAAGTGGGATTATTCAGACTGACATGGTAGGGATGTGGTAAGGCTGAAATGAAATCAAACATTAGGCAAGCTGTGGCACACAGTAGGTGCTCAAAAATTATTTCTTTAGGGCTTCACAATAAATACCTGAGGCTTACAGAAAATTTCTTCCCACATCTTCACAGTCCTTGTCCCTTCTGGAAATTTTAACCTTGAACTTCCTTGAGTCTCTTGTGCTTCCAATCAAGATAGCATCTGTGAAGCCACAGTGGCTTTTGGCGTCCCAATGTTTCCCAGGGGGTGCTTGGGGAGACAGAGGGTTCGGCCAGGCTCTGACTGTCCCTTCCCCTTTCTCCTGCCCTTTAAGCCAGAGAATCTGCTGTACTACAGCCTGGATGAAGACTCCAAGATCATGATCTCTGACTTTGGCCTCTCCAAAATGGAGGACCCCGGCAGTGTACTCTCCACGGCCTGTGGGACCCCGGGATACGTGGGTGCGGAGGGACCTGGGCTGAGGCCGTGGGAGGGGGGAGGAACCAGGAGCTGCAGGGCAGAGATTTGTCACCACCATGTCCTCTTCCTCCACAGCCCCTGAGGTGCTGGCACAGAAACCCTACAGCAAGGCAGTGGATTGCTGGTCCATTGGAGTCATCGCCTACATCCTGTGAGTGGGGGCCTGGCCGTTGGGGTGTATGGTTTCAGATCTCTCTTCTACCCTACTTTGTTTTCTTCCTCCCCTCTGCTATTTCTTCCTTCCTGCCATCCACATTTTTACCTACCAACTAATGACTAATATTACTTCATTCAATAGATACTATGTTTCAGGCATTGCACCAAGTACTGAGGATTTAGCAGAGAACAAAACAAAGTTCCTACCCTCAGGAAGCAGACACTCTAGTGGGGGAGAGAGACAAGTAAATAAACAAGTAAATAAATCCATAAAGAAGTGTCAGGTGGTAAAAAGGTGCTATGAAGAAAAATGAAAGTAGGATAGGGAGAGGGGGATGGATGCCACTTTAGATAAAAAGGTCAGGAAAGTCCTCTCTGAGGAGGTGACATTTGACTGGCATCCTGAATGAAGTGAGGGAACCAGACATAAGCAGCAAGTGCAAAGGCCCTGAGGAAGAAAAGATGGTGACATGTTAAGGAACAGAAAGTGAAGCTGGACAGGAACGAATGAAGTAGAGAGTGATAGATTCCCCCAGCCCTCTCTGTAAAAGGGGGCGCTCTTTTCTATGGGTCTTGCCTGACCCCTGGGATTGCCCCAAAGCTCCATTTGGGTACACTGAAAATGGAAATGAGGATAAGTTTTTCCCTGCCCAGGCTCTGCGGTTATCCCCCCTTCTATGACGAGAATGATGCCAAACTCTTTGAACAGATTTTGAAGGCCGAGTACGAGTTTGACTCTCCTTACTGGGACGACATCTCTGACTCTGGTATTTGGGGCTTTGCCTTCTTCCCCTGGGCCCTGCCTCTGGTGCCTTCCTCATGTGCTTTGGGGGCCTCCTCACTACCTTCCTTCAGTCAATTCCCCAGCCCTGACGAAGAGCTGTCCAAGACACTCACTCCAGGTTCTTCCCTCTGCCTGGCCCTGAACTGAGAAACCTGTAGGCATTCATTCATTCAGCCTTCAAACATAGTATTTTTGAAAATACCTCCTCCACTGACCTCCTGCCTAAAACGCCATATAAAAGTTTTCATCTCTCTTTTTGTGCCTCCTAGTAGGAGGCAAACATGTGAAACCATTATTAATCATTTGCACATCAGTGTGAATACACTGAGTAGAACCTTTTCTAAGAACAAATTTCTCTTAAGGGAAAAAGGGGACAGCTGGAAGGCTGGGGTGGATGGAGGGCTTAGAGAGAGATAACAGGTGGGGTGGGGCAGTGCATGGACAGATCTGGCCTCTCATCTTGCTTGGACACCAGGCCAGACCTGAGGTAGGTGCTGTTTTGGGGGTGTCCACAGTCACTACCATGCTCTTTCTGTCTTTGCTTTTGTTTTGGGGGTTCAGCCAAAGACTTCATCCGGCACTTGATGGAGAAGGATCCAGAAAAGAGGTTCACCTGTGAGCAGGCCTTGCAGCACCCATGGTGAGAGCTCCCATGACCTGTGAACTGGGGTGGGGCCCAGGGCCCTAAGGCCTGCTCTGTCTTCACAGATAACCCTCCACAAACCCCCACCCTAGGATTGCAGGAGATACAGCTCTGGATAAGAATATTCACCAGTCAGTGAGCGAGCAGATCAAGAAGAACTTTGCCAAGAGCAAGTGGAAGGTGAGCCCATGTCACTAGTCCTGGGTCCCAGCCTCCCCAGGACTCCTCCCCACCCTCAACCAGGCCTCAGCTTGTACAATACCTAGCATCAAGGAGGGCACACAGTAACTGCTCAAGAATGCTCACTGAAGAACCTTCCTTTTTAAAGATTTTATTTATTCATTTTTAGGGGGGGGAGGGAGGAAGAGGAGAATCATCAATGTGTGAGAGAAATATTGATCAGTTGCCTCTTGCACACCCCCAGTTGGGGAGCTGGTCTGCAACCCAGGCATGTGCCCTGACCAGGAATTGAACCAGCGATCTTTCACTTTGTGGGACACTGCCCAACCAAGCCACTCAGGCCAAGGCCGAAGAACCTCTTTCATTCATTCATTCATTCATTCATTCATTCAATGCTCCCTGACACTACTCTATTCCAGTGAGGGTCCCTGACCTCCATGTCTATCGGGAGAACAGTGGATAATTCTTAAGGCGACATCAAATCCAACCTACAGGGTCCTGGAAGGGGCATAAGGACCTGACAGCTGGGTAGGAGTTAGTCAGATACAGTAGAATAATGTCTAAGGCAGAAGGGACCAATGTACAAAGGGCCAAGGGCAAGAGTGTGGCCACTGAAGGATGTGCCAGTGCTGAATATGGCTGGACTGAAAGGGCTTTGGGGGCAGTGGGGATGTAGGGACTGAGGCAGGAGCCCAGGCTGGATATGCAGGTAGGGGAGAAGCTCCTCAAGTGACACACTAGAGTCCTGACTTAATCACGACGGTGCTGAGAAACCCCAGGATTTTCAGCAGGGATTTGCCCTTTAGAAAGGGCTCTCAAGAAATAGGCAGAGGCTGGGAGTCCCCTTAGGAGGCTGTGGCGGAGGTACATGCAGGGGAGTAAGGGCTGGACCAGAGTAGGGGCAACAGGAAGAGAACAGTGGTTGGTCTAGATTAGGAGGCGGAATTGACAAGAAGTGATGATAGGATGGACGTTGGGGTGAGGATGTCAAGGACTGGCCCCAAATTTTGGTTGGAGATAGGGTGGACAGTGGTATCATCACTGAGATGGAGATCCCAGGAGCAGAAACCTATCTTGGGGGGATGCCTTTGGTTTTGGATATGATGAATACGCGGGGTGTCTGGGGACAGCTATGTGCGTATGTTGAATAATGATACATACAAACCTGGGCAAGTTACTTAATATCTCTGTGCCTGTTTTCTCCTTTGACAACGGTGATACTAATAGGGCTCACCTCAAAGACTTCAGTGAAAATTAAATGAATTACTGTGTAAAGTGCTTAGAATGATGCCTGATACAATGCTATATTGTGTCTGCTATCATTTGAATATGAATTAATTATATATTAAAAAGCTACACAGTCCTGGCTGGTATGGCTCAGTAGATTGAGTGCTGGCCTGTGAATTGAAGGGTTGCCAGTTTGATTCCCATTCAGGGCACATGCCTGGGTTGTGGGCCAAGTCCCCCTTTGGGGGTGTGCAAGAGGCAAGCAATTGATGTTTCTCTGCAACATCAATGTTTCTCTCCCTTTTTCTCCCTCCCTTCCCCTCTGTCTAGAAACAAATAAAATCTTTAAAATTAAAAAGTTACGTATCTGTTAATACATACTTTATATATGTGTGTGTGTGTGTGTGTGTAAATACATAATATGGCTAAATATAATTCAATAAAGACTTGTAGATATTTCAGGTGGTTTTAGGGGATCAATCAGTAATACCTAAAAAAGAAGGAACCACTGCAAGAATCCCTCTGCCAGACCCTGCCCCATATCTCACACTTTCTCAAAAGTCCCTTCTCCCCCCTCTCCCCACAGCAAGCCTTCAATGCCACAGCTGTGGTGCGGCACATGAGGAAGTTACATCTGGGCACCAGCCAAGAGGGGCAGGGACAACCTGCGAGCCACGGGGAGTTGCTGACACCAGCAGCTGGGGGTGAGGACCAGGCCTCTGCGGAAGGGCACGCGTGGTCCATGAAGAGGCAACCAGGTTGGAGTGCAAGGTCTGCTTCCACAGCCAAGTTTGTTTTCTCTTCTCATGTAGGGCCAGCAGCTGGCTGCTGCTGTCGAGACTGCTGTGTGGAGCCGGGCCCAGAAATGTCCCCCAGACTGCCCCCCCAGCTCTAGGACTCTGGATCCAGGATTAGGATCCCCTGTGTGGGAAAGATTGAGGGCAGTCTACTCCCCCTTCCTTTCTTGAACTGGGGTTACCCTGCCCCCCATCCCACCCCCCTTTTCCCTACCACTCCACTGCATTTTCCATACAAATGTTTCTATTTTATTGTTCATTCTTGTAATAAAGGGAAGAGGATAAAACCACAGGTAGCTTTGTCTCCCCAGATAACCCCCACCCCATACTATTGTGCAAACTGCTCAATTTGAGGGTGCCTGCCCCCTGAGGTAGTTGCATGGAGCCCCTTTCCCAACATGCGGCTGGATTGGGGAGAATAACAGGGAATGAAGAGAAAAGGTATTGGGAGAATCACTTTGTCCTGTGCCCCCCACCTAGTCTTTAGGTGCGGATCTCTTTCTGTGCTTTGCTGGTGGCTTTTGGTAGAGTTGGCGCAGGTCAGCACTGAACAGCACCTGGGGATGGGAGAAGCAGTCTGTGTGGGGAGAAGGTACCCTGGGGTTAGGGAGAGCGGGGCTGGTGGTAGTGTGGGGAGACAGAGTTCCTAGGGAGCAGACCCAGGACAATGCAAGCCCACTAGAGGCAGGGTTGGGAATGGACGTAGAAAACCTATAGGGTCGCCTGGGGCAGTGGCAGTAGCAGTAGAAGAGTTCCCTGGGTCAAGGCTGGGGGAGGAGTTCCATGGGGTCTGGGCTGGAGGAGGAGAGGAAGCCTAGGTATACTCACTGCTTGGGCCCAGCCAGCGTAAGGGCCCCACAGGCTCCGGAAAAAGTTTCCTAAATCAGAAGTAATGAGGCAAAATAAATCGACCTCTCCCATTCTCCATCCACATGGGTGGAGTTTTCGGGAGAGGTGTGAGAAGTTTCTACCACCTCCGTCTCCTGCCAGCTCTGGCACCTCCCCTTCTTACCCAGTTCCTTGTTGGCCAGGGGGCTTGGACCCTTGGCCTGGGTTGTGGTAGGGTGCCAGCTGTAGTCACGTTGGGCGATCTGCCACATGTGGACATCCACGGGCACGGCCTGGGGCTTGTTTAGGGCCATCAAGCAGATGCAGTCAGCCACCTAGGATGGACACAAAGTGAGCCACAAAGGAGGAATGGCAGGATCCAGGCAGCATCCTGCTTCTAGTCCCAAAGCCCGCTACTTCCTCCTCCACTTTGAGGTTACCATTATTCTATATTCTCAATATACACCATCTATTAATAATTTTAAAAATAACTGGTGAGAGTGCTACTGCATGAACATCTATGTAGGGTAGGTTCTCCTCATAACTTGGAAAGAAGTTGGTACTATATTCATTTTGCAGACAAGAAAACTGAGGTTCTGAAAGGTGAAGTGACTTGGCCCAAGTTATAGGAAGGGGCAGAACAAAAATTTAATGTTAGTGAAGTTCAGAGCCGATTAAAAAAAAGTTCAAGTAAAAATTCATTTTTTAAACTACAGAGAAGTATACAGAAGAAAACAATAAATGCCAGATTCCCAATTATCTTGTTTCTAGGTAACCCTGTTGAAATCAAAGTTTTACAAGTACATATAATTTCAAGAGAAGAATAAAATGCAGAGTAGAAATATCTTCCTATTTGTCTTCCCAAAGGTAACCACTACTCAGTTTCTTGTATTCCTTCTGGAAATTTCTGCATACATATAGCAGTGAAAAGATGTACCTGACCTTTCTACAAATGCATTCAAAGGGCAATGTGCTATATACCCTTTTTGCCTTTTCTCTAATAAAATATCTGCTTGTATCCTTTCTCCTTCCTGTACTGCCTCCAGAAGCCAAGCCTGTACCCAGCTCTCAGGTTTGCCTTGTCTCCTACTCTGTTACTAGCAACATGGGTGGTGAGGGTAGCTCCTATCCCACCGGGGCCTCACCTTGGTGCCCACCCCAGGCAGGGTGCAGAGGGCCTTGTGGGCCTCTTCGTAGGGGGCCTTGTGCAGCTGCTGAAGCCAGGGAAGCCCGCCCAGTTCAAGGATGGCTTGGGCACTGGCACTCACAAAGCGGGCACGGTACCCAAGGCCCAGCTTCCTGAGCTGAGCCTCCACTTCTGGCCCTGCAGTGGGGGTGAGGAAGGAAGCAGGGGTCAGGCATCCTCAAATCCTTTATGTCCTTAGGCTAGTGTGAGCCTTCCACACCAAAGGAATGCTTTCCCTTAGCACCCTTCTCCCACCTTACCACCTTTTGGGAGACCCAGGACACTTGCATGTGCAAAGGACAGGGTTAAGGCCTAGGTTCTACCCCTTTACAAATGTTTTCTGAGCACCTACTATGTGTTGGGCTCGGAACAGGGACTAAGAAGGATTGCTGCCCTGAAGAAACTCCCCAATTGAGTTTCTTAACCTTCCAAAGGGTCGGTCACACCCATGATCTAAAATAATAGTCATAATAATAGCAACAGCTTCTATGATCAAGTGTTGGATAGCAAACATGAGCAAAGTGCTTTAGGTACCTTATCACACTTACTTTTCTCAAGGCCCCCATTGAAAGTACTGTTGTTTTTACCAATTCACAGGTGGAGAAAATGAGGGCTTAGAGGTTAAGTAACTTGCTCAAGAAAGGACACAGTAGAGATGGGATCTGCACCCAGGTCTGGGACACCAATGCCTGTGCTCTAAATCAGCCTCATGATTGTTTTATTCACCCTCAAACCCTTCTAGATAAGAACTCTTATTCCCATCCTACAAACAAGTTAAGAGAAGCCCCAGAGAGGTGAATAAATTTCTTATGACTATTAAGCTGCGAGCTGAGACCTAAGACTGGGTTTCTAAGCACCAAAAACATTCTCTTTTCTCCAGGCAGGCTATCTCCTTGCTATGCAGCCCCCAAGCATTTTCCCTCAACTGAGGTACTTGTCTCTGTAAAAACTGGCCTCACCTCTGGCCAGGTAGCTCAGTTGGTTAGAGTGTCATCCCTATATACCAAGGTTGTGGGTTTGATCCCGAGTCAGGGCACATTCAAGAAACCACCAATGATGCATAAATAAGAGGAACAACAAATCAATGTCTCTCTTTAAAAAAAAACAAACCAAAAAAACAAACTTGCTTCACAGGGTTGCTGTTAAGAATATGTGTGTTCTTGGACACAAAACTGTTGGATTCACTATAGAGACAGCAACTTGAATTTTCTGCATACTTCCTATATGTCAAACACTGTGCTAGGTGCAGTATGTGCACTCCTTTACCCAACCCTTGTGACAACTCTGAAGGTTATTATCCCATTCAACAGATGAAGAAACAGAGGTACAGAGAAGCTAACTAAGTGCCAGAGTTGGGACTGAGACTCAGGCAGTCTGTTTCCAGAACACATGCGCAGCGGCTCTCCCTATGGAGCATGCTTGCTCCTTTCCCTACCCCCTTCCCCTGAGGCACGTTTTCCTTGCCTCTCTCTTTCTCCTAAGCTCCAAGCACCCTTCTTTTGCTTCTGTAACTTGTTTCCTGAGCCCATTTCTTCTACAGCTCACTTGTTCTACCTCTGTGACCTTCTAAATAAACTTCCTCTTAAAAAAACAACACATGTGCTTTTAACCCTACAGTACTGTACAGTGAATATAAATCTTTTTCTGAAGTGGCATTAAACCCATGGGGCAAAAAGCACAGAGGAGTGACGTGCTGACATTTCAGGGACAGATAGGGAGGGTGAGGTATGACTGATCAGACCAGGCAGGGTGATTCTGGATGAGGGCAGACTTTAGAGAGGCAGGAAACTTTGAGATGGGAGCTGGGGACTGCGGAGAACTTAATAGACCTTGAAAGCTGCTGGTGGGCCTTGGGGCAGAGACCATTTACTCACCAGCCAGGGCCTGCAGGCCGGGGAAGCCATGGTAGGTGACATCATCGAGCTGCATGAGTCGAGGTCCAAAAGCCTGGCAGAGCCGCTCCACCATGCCAGTGATGCGGGCAATGTTGTTGTTGGAGGAACAGATGAAGGAGAAAAGGCACTCGATGGGATCCTGTTGTAGGAGTCGAACACCTAGAGGTCAGAAAGGCAAGGGGTAGAGAAGCACCTGCTGTCAGGAGTGGCCTCCTCTCACCTTCAGATCTTAGGCACCAGGGGGATTCCAGGGGCGTGAGAGACAGTATTGTTAGAGAAAGGAACACCAGCGCTTTCATTCCTCATAGCATGTTGTGAGGTCTGGGTCATCATCCCATTCCACAGATAAAAAAGCCACAATGTAAGCACTATAAAGGTGGGGATTTGTGTTCATTTTGTTCACTGCTGTATTCCCAGTCACAGAGCATATGCTCTGTATTATTTACAGAATGAATGATGTCACCTGCCCCCAATCACACAAACAGGATTTGGCTTAATATCCTCATCAATCCACAATGGTGATCAGCAGGACAATAATAATAGTAATAATTACTGTTGTTAGGCGCTATTCTAAACACGGTACATGTATTAGCTCCTTTCATCTTCATAAAATCCTATAAGGTAGATATAATCCCCAATTTACAGATGGTGAAACTGAATAACCTAACCAAACTGTAAGAACCTCAACCCCTGCCCCAGGCTCTGTACTCACCTTGGAATTTCTGAGCCACCTCTTGGAAGTGGGGGTCCACAGAACTCCAATGGCTATACAATTGAGCCAGACTGACATCCAGCTGGAAGTACCGGTGCACCGCCTTTAGCTCTTCTGGTGTGGGCTTCCCAGTCTGGCCTTTTTTCCCTCGGTACACAGTGCAGTAGAGCTTCTCCTCAGTCTGGGTCAGTGTCCATACCTGGTCCGCCAGCACACCACTCCAGTGCGCAGGGTTTTGCTCCCTCCACCTGAGCCCCCAAGGTACACGGCAGCTCTATTACTCAGTCTCCCTTCCTGCACCATTTGGGGCCCTCCCATCTTACCACCTCTCCATATACAAAACTGATCTATGAATTGTAAAAGAAAAGTGATTTCTTGTATATCAATTATATCGTTTATCCTCACAGTAACACTGCAGAGGCTTACTATGTCCACTTTATAAAAGAGTTAACAGGCGACAACTCTTTTTCCACCTCTCCAACAATCACGGGCTATTAAAAATAGAAAAAGGAGCTAACAGGCTCTACATCCGTGTCTCTCCTTCCTCTTTTGTACCCTAAGGTTTCTTCCATCACACCCAACATTCCTTTGCACCCCAGGCCTGCAGTGCTGAGGAGTCAGGAGCCATGGTCACTCACCGGAAGGACTGTCCGGAAGCCAGAACCAAATCCAGGCGCAGCTCAGAGCGTGGACATGGGATGGAGGCCCAGAGGGACGGGACGGAGTATAGTGTACGATGTCCCATGCTACCGAGTAAAAGAGAGCTAATGTGTCCTTATCAGTCTCGTCCCCATAATGGCCCCGTCCATTCAGAGCCAGATCGACTCACCCCCAACAGACCACTCCCACCAAAACAGGACGAACCTGAAGGCTTCGCCCTCCAAGCTCTTAATTTGTTTACGGTCGTTCAATTTCACTTGATTCCTCCACTCCCCGCAGGCCCCGCCCCTCACTGGTCACCAAAGTCCCTCTTCTTTCACTCTGTGCCCGCTCCTGCCCTATACGTCCCCTCCTCCACGACCTCAGGGTGCTTACCACTGCACCACGAAATTGCCGCGCGAAGCAGGCGCAAGCGCACTCTTCCGGCTTCTCCGTGGTCTGACCTCGCTCTTACAGGAAGCAGGGCTCAAGCCCAGTTTATTGGGTCCAGAGGTAGCCAATCCGCGTGGAAATAAGAGGCGCCAATGAAAACGGGCGTGGGGGAGGATGGGCGGGTCTTATCTAGGCGCCCTGGCGGTTAGCGCGCGCCGGGCTTGGTGCCGGCTCGTTCTGGGCCTTTCCTTTGCATTAGGTAGGACAACTTGTCCCCACAGACCCAGCTCAGAGTGCGCCCTTGGGCCCCTGTTATCACCACTTGATATCCTCTGGGCCGTGGATTCCTCAGGCTCGCCTGCCCACAAACCAAATCCAATCCCTCGCCATTTTCAGAGAGCCTTTTCTCCGCAGAGCCTCTCCTTCTCCAGTCAGCTATTCGCTCACCTCGGTCCTCCTCCTATAAGTCACTCTTCACAGAGAATCCGACGGGCCCGGAGCACAGCTGCGGCGCATCAAGCCCCTGTGAGGAGCCTCCACAGCGCCTGCCTCCTGAGGATTCTGTCTTCTCGCCCGCCAGTCGTGGGCCTCCTCACAGACTTCACTCCGGAGGCCGTACTGCTCAGATCGTCCCGCCTCGCCCGTCGCCTGCACCTGTGCTTCCTTGTCTCCGCTTTCCTTCAGTACTCCACCATCTAACACTGCCGAGCTGAATGCAGCCGGTACAGGAGCTTTCTCTGGGACTGGGAGAGGCAATTCAGAGTGCAAGGACAAGTGTGTGGCCATGAGGCAGCCTGTCTGCCTGGCCCCGTTGACAGAGCTGTCTGCCTGGGCTCAGGGAAGGTGTATGATGTCATTGCTTCCCTTCTGGAGAAAGTCACAAAAAGCTAGGAGACCACTTTTATCTAGGTGATTTTTTTAACCTTTTACCATAGTGATTTTTGGTCTCTGTATTAGATTGCAAATTCTTTAAGAACAGATTTGCAGCTGATTTATCCTTGTGCCCCACACGCATTATCTAGTGGGGAGTACCAGGAATTTGGTATCTGTCAAATGCTGTGGGTACCTCAGTTACATTCACTCAGTAGCTCCAAGGCCCTTGGTAACTATTCCCTGTGATTGTCTCATCCACTGGCACATGAGCCTACAGGTACCTAGCACTTGGAAGGCTTTCCTTCAATGAATGTTTGGGAAAAGGAGGTGCCAGAATTGGGAATAAATGAAGAGAAACCCTCTGCATTCTTGCTCTGTCCCCAGTTAAGAAGGGAAAGGCCACAACTTAGTGACTCTGAAGCACTTTGACCATCATCCTACTGGTAAATGACTTGGAAGTATCCGAAGTTCATGAAAGACTGGGCAGTAGACTCTTCCTCCAGCAGTTTAGCACATTGGTTAAAGAGCCAGTTTTGCAGACAAACAGACCTGAGTTAAAATCCTAGCTCTGCAACTTCCTAATTGTGAGAACTTAAGCAAGTTACTTAATTTTTCTAAACCTATGTCTTTGTGGAGATAACCTACCTATTAACCTTTCCTATAATTAATGCAAGGATTACATGAAACTGTATCTAAAAATGCTCAGCACAGATACAGCCACTCAGTAAGTGCATTGGAAATGGGAGCTGTCCTATTATCTTTGCTGTTATGTTACAAATGCAGTATGCACAGCAGCCTGCAACCACTTGGGCCCAATTATTTGCCATCCCTGGGGGACAGAACTTCCTTTTGCCCTGGTAGAAGGCAAGAACCAAGAATTCCAAACAATTTATTTTGTAAGAATCAATATATTTCTTCTTTTGAAATAAATACAAACCAGTTTGAAAGGTGGGGGAATCAATGGGAAGAGGGGAAGAGGGGACAGGCCCCAGTTTTTTTAGTACCAAATGACTCTGGCGCGACCCGGAAACGCAGTTACAAATGAGAATAATTTAAATTCTCCGCTAATTACAGTATTTACAACAGCAGGGGAGGGGGGTCACCTAGTGCCCCTCTTCTGGGCTGGACAGACATCAATTCCACTGTTAGGCTGGGCAGATGCCTGTTCACCTCACCACCTGCACGGCCTCAGGCCACTAGGCAGTTATGAATTCTCCTGGCATGAGCAGGCATAGGTGGTGGGATGGCCTGTTTTATGCAGTGTCCTAACCTCAGCCCACCACCCTGCACTACAATGCTATGAGGTCTCTGGGGCTTTCTGGCCTGTGGGACCTCCTCTTTCCTTGCGCAGAGCCACCACGGGCCCTTGGAGTGTTCTGTACAGTCCAGCTGCACTCAGGGCAGGAGGGACCTCCCCCACCCAGCTTCCCCTGAGACTGGCCCCAAGACCAGGAATGAGTCAGTGCAGAGGCCGGTGCCACTCCAGGACACTGAGCAAAAAGGAGAGAGGTGGCAGGGCACTGTAGGTTGGGCTGTGCTGGCCATTATCAGTCACTATCACTGGTCTCGCTGCTCTGCTCGCCCTGGACCTTGCTGCGGTGCTGCAGAGCCCTATGATAGGCGATCTGCACTGACTTGCGGATGTTAGACTTGCGGCCCTCCAGCATCTTCTCCTTGTCGAGGTCCTGGTTCACACCCAGAGGAACCAGCTTAGTCCTAGGCAGCCACTGCCTGTAAGAGGAGGTGAGGAACAAGTAAGTCATCCCTGGGAGAGCAACAAGCACCAGCTATCCTCACTCCATTCATTTAAAAATACCTCTTGAGGGCCAGGCTCTGGTGGGCACTGGGGTTACAGAGACCAAGAGATAGTCCCTGCCCTCAAAGAACTGCTCACAGGAGGAGCCCTGACCTAACCTGAAATATGTACCCTGTCCCATAGACTCCAGGTAGACTTTACTGATATTAAATATCCTCTGTAGACAAACAAAAAGATTACATACATAAATGAGACAACAGGGATTCCGAATATAAGTGTTTATGTCTGCTTTATCCCTATCCTGTCACTATGGAGGCAGAAGTGTGAAAACTCAGAGTCTGGGTGGAGAACCACTTCCATACCTGTCACAGTCACTGATGGTCCTTTGTTTTCTAGCTACAGCTTTTATGAGCTGCTGCCCGCTCATCTGCTCAGACTCATGACAACCTTTTGCTCAAAGATCTAAGTCCCTCCTTCACTGATTTGTGCTAGAATTTCCTGGCAGTCTATATCCATACTCGGGGTTGCATTTGTGGCTGTAAGTCACCAAATGCCTCCCTTCTCCCTTACCAGGTTCTCTTGTTGTCAAAGAAGAGGACGAGGTAGAGATGCTCTCGGGCTTCCTGGGTCATCTGCTCCCCAAGTTTCAGCACCTCCAGTGGGGGCACAGGAATGGGAACCCCATGGTGGAACATACCTTCCCGGGGCATCTTTGGATCAATGATCTGAAGGAGTAATAAGACCTCGGTTTGATTCAGTCCCTTTCTTCTGCAAAAATTTGGACACTCCTTTGAAGTGGGGACATAGAAAAGTTATCATGCTACTAGGGCTGACCTTCTTCCTATGCTGAACTACTTCAGAGCCCAAGGGGCAAAGAAAAGGAAAAGGGAGAGAGAGAGAAATTAATCAGGGACCTCTAACTGTCTACCTGCCAAAGCCCCTTGTATTCAACAGCTCAGCAGAGTAGGAAAAGTCTGGTAATTGTGAGTTTGCATTCTGCGGTTGACAGGCAAGGGATATGACAAGAAAAGCAGAAGCCTACCAGAGCTGGGTATGATGGATACCCTCTGCATTTGGCCCACACCAGGTCCAGAGCATCCAGGGGGGAGTCCTCATCCTCTGAGAGCCAGCCAGGTCCCCGACCCAGACTCTTCCTTACCACTTCACAGGAATGGGAGAGAGGGGGCAGATCAGCAGACAGGGGGCTGGCAAGGCCCGGATACTGGGCCCCCAGCATCCCTGGCCTTGGGCGATGGTACTTACTGCTGTGGCCCACGCTGCGGCCAGTGCCCACAGAGTAGGCCTCATTCTCAGTGCCTGAGGTATCTTCACTGCTATCCTCTGGGAATGTGCCCCGAGAGAAGGAGGGCTTGCCCCTGCCTTGTTTTGAGGGTGTTGTGCTGTAGACAAGACAAGGGGAACTTAGCTCAAAGGAGAAGAGTGGAGAATGGTGTGGTGGGTGTCCTTTCTTTATAAAACCCTAGTGCCTAAGACTTTTGGAAAGCAGAAGTTAAAGAATTTCAAATCCAAATGCCCTCAGGGGCTTGGCAGTGATTTGACTGATGTGGGCTGGATTTAGCAGTGGTGGTGCTGAATGCATGCCCTGTCTAAAAGCAATACTGGCCAAATTTGCCAGATCTAATTTTTAAAAAGAATACAGAAACTGGGAATTTTATGTGGTACTTCTGGATTCATATTAAAAAAGAAAAAGAATACCAAAAACCCCCACCATGCTGGCCAGACAAAATGTGTCTGGGCCAAATTCAGGCCACAAGGCATCAGTTTACACTCTCTGCTCTAAAGTATCAGCTGAGCCCAGTATGTTTCCTCCATTTCATCATGGTGATATTCATATCTATTCCATTATTTTGCAGAGAACCTTGGGTTTGAGCCATCTTAATTTAGGCTGAGATGGCTGCCACCCCACTTCCCATAGTGAAACCCAGAAAAGCATCCCAGAGGCAGGCTTTCATCTGGAGGGCTGGTACCTGGTTCGGTCTGAGGCAGCGCTGCTGCTGCTACTGCTGCTGGACTCAGAGTCTGAGCTGCTCCGGGGAAGGCTGCAGTCATTACGGTATACCAAGAAACTCTTCTTCACTGGCTGGTTTCCACTGCTGAAGCCATTGGCTGGTAAGTCTTGGTTGGGGGGAGGAGGAAGGGGAGGAGGGAAGGAATCGGTCAGGAAGTTGTAGATCAGCGATTGCATGGGGGTAAGAGGTACTTAGAGCCTGGCTTTCCCTTCTCTGCTGGAAAATTCCTCCAACCTTGGCCAGCAGAGCTAGCTCTGGGCAGTGTCCACCGCAGTTGGCCACAGCTCTGCCCCACCCCTTACACTTCCCTTGGCAGTTATAGACCTTTGGACACAAATGGCTTAAAGGGCAGGAGATCCCCAAAGGAGGGTGAGAAGAGAAGAGGTGAAGTGATACAATGGAGGGGGCCCTGGATGGGAATCTAGCTGGATCAGTGTCTTTGGGTTTCAATTTCCCAGTCTGTAAGATGAGG